CAAGTTAGTTAGGGTCTCTGAGCCTCTGCTTTTTCAACTATGATTACCATGTCCTCACGAGGACTAGACACGATGGCTCACATCTTGTGTTTAACCCTATGCCAGGCACAAGGTGTGTACTCCGTACGTGGGAGCTACTATCACTCCCAGTGTACTATGAGCCTACTGTGTGTGTGTGCACAGTATGACACACCCAGGTACCCTTTCAAACCTAATTCCAACAGAGAATTAGAGATCTTAGGCACCCAATTAAAAGCAAATTGGGCCCTGGTCGGTTTGGCTCAGTAGTTAGAGCTTTGGCCTGCGGTCCAGAGAGACCGGGGTTCAGTTCTCGCTAAGGGCACATACCTCGGTTGCAGTTTGTCCCTGGCCCTGGTTGGGTCGTGTGGGTGGTAGCCACTCGATGTGTCCCTTTCGCGTCGATGTTTCTCTCTCTCTCTCTCTCTCTCTCTCTCTCTCTCTCTCTGTCTCTCTCTCTCCCCCCCTCCCGCTCTATCTGAACAAAAAATGGAAAAGTGTCCTCAGTTGAGGATTAAAAAAAAAAAAAGCAAATTGGCACAGTAGGTCACCCAAATCAACACTCTTACTGGGCTGGGATCTGCCCTTTCTCTTTATGGGAAACCAGGTTTCCAAAGGCCTGGCTCATCGCCATCCCCTTTTCAGGGGAGACCTGGCTTTTCCAGATGGTCATTTTGAGACCAGCAAAATGGCCAACAGGCCACTGCCCCTCTGAGCGTACTGTGTCTGTAGCCTTGGGTTTGAACAGACACACAGGGAGACTGCCACATGGCTGTTCTCAGGGCTGTCAAGAATGACTCATTGGAGGGTCACCAATGCTCCAGGACAAAGTGACTCACTGGATCTGCCCCTGGGCCTGGCTCTACTGCTGCCTGACCTTTGCCTCTCCCAGGGAACTGTTCTCAGGCCGTGTTAATGCTCCACTCAAAGGAGGGGCTTCCCCACCTCTACAACACTCTTTGTTAAGAGGGGCCCAAGAAATCTCTTATCCAATCCCCCTCATCTCACAGAAAAGGAGCCCAGTGATAGGACCAGACTTGCTCATACATCTAGTTCGCAGCAGAACCAGGATTTGAACCTGGGCCCGAGGTGACTTCTGTGATATTCTCCCGGTTGCCACAAACCCCTACCTCTGGGCTGGCTCCTTCCCCACAGGCTGCAGGTCTTAAACTCTCCGAGCAGTGGTTTCCACAGGCTTCTGGTAGGACACTTACCCCTTTGAAATCTTGTTCCCAAGAAATGTCGAATGATTGCGAGCCTGTGGTCCCCACTGACCATCATGTCAATAAACAACGTAAACATTTGTTTACTTTTGTGATAAAAGCATTCCTTTCCTAGCCAACAAGTTTCGTAAAGAAACAAAAAATAGTATAAGCCAACAAGGATTAAAGGATAAATAATTGTCTGGCAGAACGATGGAGCAATCCATGACTTCAAGAGCTGGGATCCACACCAACCTGGGGAGCTGGGGCTTGGCAGGAGAGCTGTTACCCAGGGAAGTCTGGGCCGGAACCAAAGGGAAGGCTGAGGAAGAGTGGGCGAAATGGTGGTGCTGGGACAGGCCTGGGAGTGGGGCAAACTGGGAACCAGGTGGAGGGTGTCTGTCACGTCCCTAACCCCCTTGCGTCACCCTGACCCCATCACTAAACCCTTGTTGCCCAGAATCTCCATGTGCTCCAGAAGGGAATCCTGGATCTACTCCCATCTCCCCCACACCTGCCCCTGCTCCAACCTCATTTCAACCTCAAGTCCCCCTGGGTGTTCAGGTGTCATTCATTGGTTGGCAGAATTTGAACAGGTTGCCTTTCCCCAGTAGGGACCCTGGAGTCTGGCATGGCCACCTGCTCTCCTCCAGTAAAAGTGGAGGGGCTGGGTGGGGTGGACTGGAATAAGACAGAATATACTGACAGACAGAGGGTCCTTGAGAGACAGATCTCAGGCTGGCAAAAAATGAGAAGAGCTTGGAGTTCTGTCTTTCCTTTGGGGGAAGAACAAGTCTCATTCGGTTTCTCCACGGCCTCCAGAGAGGAGCTTTTCCTCCTGTTTCGTAAATGTGGAAACTGAGGCCCCGAGTGCTAAACCCAGAGGCGGAGCTGTGCCCAGAAGCCAGCAGACCTCCTCCCTCCAGCCACTGCTTTGAGGAACCAGAGGAAGGGGGCCAGGAGCTGGGGCAGGGCCGGTGGGTTTGAGGGGAGGGGAGCCCCAGAGCTGGCAGAGCTGCCCTGGAAGCTGCTTCAGGCCTGGGGACCTCCAGAGCTGCCCTGAGCCCAGGGAGGGGGCTGGGGCCGGGGAAGGGAGCAGGCAAGGCAATGACTCCAGTCCTGAGAAATACCAATGACTCACGCTGGGTGGCTCCGCATGCCAGCCCAGCCCACATTCCGGGCCTTTGTTCCCGGCTGCCCGGGGCCCGGTCTTAAAGGGCCAGCTCCGAGGCAGGCAGGAGAGAGGGCCGCCCTGCCCATCACCCGACCTACCACCCCTACTGTCCTCTCCTGACCCCTTGTTGGTGTGCTCCTGATTTCTGGGCGGTGGGTAAAAAGGGTGGCACCCTGTGGGATTTGGGGGTTCATCCAATTGAATCCTCAGGCTGTAAGGGAGGACCCTCAGGTCACTTCAGCAAGCCCTCTGCCTCAGGGCAAGGCTCCACCTAAACTGGCCAAGAAGGATTAAGGAAACTGTTTCCCACCCTTTCAAAGCAAGTTTTTCCAGGGTCTCACAATCAGGCCCCTTCTAACCACAATCCCACGCGGCAGGTTGTGCTGGTTCCCCACCCCGTCCGCCCGATCTCAGTACTGGTTTATCCTCAAACTCTCGCTGACACGCGTTTGGTGGGTTTTAGGTTGGCCTGTGCAGACTTGTGAGCCAGGCTTCCTGCAGGGCCCCCAAGGGGTCCAGGTTTTACACCAAGCCCAGCCTATCAGTGGATTCCTCTGGGCAGAAACAGCGTCCTACCACCGGGGCCCAAGCCCGGGTGCCCAAGCCACTTCTTTAGATGCCACGCGCGCCACCATGTGGACATTCTGGAGAACTGCTGCCTTCAGGAGCTGGGGCGGGGGGGAGGGGGCACCCTGCAGAGCCTCCTAGCACCGCAGCCGTAGCGGACTCAGAAGAAGCATCCTCAGTTATGAAGCAATCCTGAACTGGCACAAATCACAATAAAAGCAGTTAGAGAGGAATTAAAGAGGAAAGGATGAGGTTCTAAGATTAGTTTAATAACAAAAGCCTAGAAGTTCTAATAGAAGTTACAAATAGCAACTTTTTTGGTTGAGGCTTGGGAACATCTCTGTGTCCCCCTGTACCCACCCCCTCACCCCCTCAAATGTCCAATGTGAACATTTCAGAGAAAGGGTTTTCTCCCTTGAAGCTTTCATGGTAATTTCACAACTTACCAGGTCTTGAACGGAGAGCTGGGTGTGGAAAAAGGAGAAAGTGCAAAGCTTGCTGCTGGGCAGACCGAAGCGGAGGGGGGGAGGGGAGTGGGCACAGCCAAGGGGGAGGCCCGGCTCCTGGGCAAAGCACTTTGAACTGTGAAGAGGGCTCAGGCTGCTCCACAGACTCTCACTTAATATGTCCCTTGAACCCAGGATGAACCATTGCCAGTTGGGCTAGGACCCCAAGGCTAAAACCTGTGATCCTAGCCCAACTGGCCTTGGCACCCCTGGCACTAACCAACCAGGCCAGCTGGCCCTGAACAAACCCAGCATCCAGGAGCATCCAGAACCCTCGGAGACCCACCCCATCCACCCACCCATCCCGCCACCCCCTGAACAGATACCCTGCTGTGGTCCTCTGCTGAGGGAGTTTTCCTACCCCAGGCTGTACATCTCTCAAAGTCCTTCCTTCCTCTCCTTCCTCACTACTACTCGGGGTCAGTTCCTTGTTACCCTGACCCTAAATCAATACCATACCTTTTGACAGGTCTCCTGCTTCTGGGCCCTCCTAGGCCAATCATCCCAAGCACCACCCCTAAATAAATCTCCCTAAAATGTACCCACGTTCTCTTGAGGAATTGCAGAGAGCCTGTAGCTCTGGGTCTGAATTTCCTGGCTCACCCCAAGATCCAACCCATGTGCCTGCTTTAGGACTCCATCTTTTGGAGTTACTGACTTCTTGAGCACAAGGGCTTTGTTTTATATTTCAAAATCAAATTAAATGTAAATTATGTATCAATAAATCCTAGCCAGAAAAGAAAAGGATAAATTAAGAGCTTTTAACACACGTGTGTGTTTTGATTTGGGACTGAGTCTGACAGCCTGGTGCAGACGGGCTGAGTGGGGTCTGAACCCATCTCAGGGCCCTTTTGTTAAGCTGTGCGCCCTGCCTTCAGGCCACAGCGCTCTGGGAGAAGAGGTGCTTTTCCTGCTCCACCCAAGCCTCCTGCTATTGTCTTCTGAGAGGCTTCCCTCCCAGAGGGAAACAGAGGGCCCTGGGCTAGGCCTGGCCTAGGGAAAATTAGCAAAAAAATGAATAAGGTACATTTCACAAGTAGGGGAGACTCCTCCCGGCTTTGTTCAGATGACTGTGTGAAGGTGTGAGGGAAGGGCCACCCTACCCACTGTGACATATACACTACAACCTATCATTTCAGAGTTTTCAGGCCATAAAACAGGAGGGTGTTAACTGCCCTCAGTTGGTTAGAAGAGAGCTTTAAAAACTTGACCTGGCTGGTTTGGCTCAGCGGTTAGAGCATTGGCCTGCTCTCCAGAGAAACCCCGGGTTCGGTTCCTGCTAAGGGCATGTGCCTCAGTTGCAGTTTGTCCCCAGCTCTGGTTGGGTTGTATGGGTGGCAGCCACTCGATGTGTCTCGTTTATGTTGATTTTTTTTTTCTCTCTCTCTCTCTTCCTCCTACTCTATCTGAACAAAAAAATGGGAAAATGTCCTCAGGTGAGGATAAAAAAACAACAACAAACTCCCTTCTTTCCAGTCCCTCAACTGCTTCCCTTCTAGTCTCCCCAGTAAGCCTGTGCTGTCTCCCTTACAGCCTGGGAACCCCAACCCCAGGAGCAGCCAGCCCATCAACCTGAACCATTATGCCACCAAGAAGAGCGTGGCAGAGAGCATGCTGGACGTGGCTCTCTTCATGTCCAACGCCATGCGGCTGAAGACGGTGCTGGAGCAGGGGCCGTCCTCCCAACACTACGCGACCCTCGTCACCCTCCTCAGCATCTCTCTGCTCCTGCAGGTTGCCATCGGAATCCTCCTCGTGGTCATTGGTGAGCCCAGGCCTGGAGTTTGCCTTGGTGCCCCCCTAGTGGGAGATGAACCCCAAGAGTCTCCTGGTACCACCCTGCATTTGCACATGCCAACTTCTCAGCCATGCACTAACCTGGTGTTAGCCCTCTGCACCTACCAATGCCAAAGTAACACCTACACAGCGATGACAAGCGCCTACCCTACCTCTTGGTGTTCCGTATAGTGGCCGCTCCACAATACTGCTGAATGACACCTGCTTGTAGCCGACTCCCCTATCACCTTCCGTGTGAGCACATCCCCACTCTTAGAAGACCCAGTGCAAGTTCCCAAACCCCAACTCTATGACGCACCACATGGACACCCACACGCTGGTCAGTGAGGGAGGAGGCAACGACACCACCTCCCTTGGTGTCTGCCACATGGATCTCTGAGATGCCAGACTTTCTCTGAACTCTAGTGGGTTGTGTAGGGGGAGCTCCAGGCCATGGCCCCACCCTGACTTTTACCTCTCACTCTCCACTCTCCCCAGCGCGGTGGAACCTGAATGAGGTGGAAAAGCAGTGGCGGCTAAACCAGCTCAACAACGCTGCCACCGCCTTGGTCTTCATCACTGTGGTCATCAACGTCTTCATTACAGCCTTTGGCGCACATAAGACAGGGTTCCTGGCTGCCAGGACTTCAAGGGATCCTCTTTGAACCCAGCTTGGGACCCAGGTGAGGGGAGACGGGAGGTCCTCAGGCCCAAAGGCTCCCCAGGCGGCCCTGTTCTCACCTCGGGGTTTAGGGTAAGAGAGAAATCCTTGCCAAGCAGGAAGAGAAGGTAGGTCTGGGACAAAGAGGGAAAGTCGGAAGGAGCTTGGATGGGGACTCAGAAAGGCCCCCTGTGCTGCTAAGGGTGCTTCCCCTTTAGGTTCGGCGCGGGTTTTCCATGGCCTGAGATGGGGGAGGCTCTGCCCCTCCAGCAAGAGGCACGTTGCAGATGTGGGACTTCTCCTTGGCACTGACCAGCAGTCCTTGCTACTCAAACTGTGGTCCCTGAACCAACAGCAACAAAAGCTTGCTGGAAAGGTTCAATCTCAGGCCCACTCCAGCTGAGTCAGCACGAGCATCTTGAGAAGGAGCCAGGGGAATGGAGGGCACAGGGCCGTCTGAGAACACTGCCTCACAGCTTCTTCTCTGCTCCCCGCAGGGGCCGGAGCTGGGGCCGCTTCCGCCTTTCCTCGCCCGTCTGCCAGGCTGACGGGCACCTTCCACAGCCCCGGGGAGCTCCTGAAAGGGTGACGTAGATGCCTGCTTCCTACCATAGCATCTGAGTGAAGATGGGATATGTTGCTGATCTGAGTGAATTCCATCTTGTCTCAAGTCCTGAGCTCAGACTGGGATAGTGCCAACCTTTCCTCCCAGCAGCGCCTGTCTACCTTAGGTCAAGTCCACCCAGCTTACAGATTCTGGTTCTGACTCTACTCCACTCCTCCCCTTTGCCCCATCCACTCCCAGGCCGATTTCCCAGGTAAAATGGAATGATTTCTGTCTATAAAAGTTTCTGCAAACCCACTGAAGTCAGTCTTTATGTCTAGCTGCGTCTGAGCTGCCGTCTCCACCTGTGTCCTGGAAAGGGCTCAAAGGAGCAAACTCTAAGCCCGGACGGAGAAAAAGCTTTTAAATCACTCCCTTTCTGGGTTGTGCTGAGTCAGCCTTCCGGCCCCACGTGCCTTGGGCCAGTTGCCATCTGCTACACCTACGGCAGAGCAGTCGATTCTAGATCAATGCTCATGTGCACTTCTTTCAAAACCTACTATAAACCTATGCTAGCTTTGTTAGCTCATCTGAGGCATGTGTTTAAGGAATACAGACACAATTGGATTTATGCCTGCACCAAATGTAACCAGGGAGGTCAGACTGCACCTATAAGGCATCAACAGGACATCCCCAGCTCAAGCAGAAAAGATTTCTAGATTGTCTGCTATTTTAGAATAAGCCATACCTCAGCTCCTCCCTGATGTTCACCTAAACCATTCTGGCCCTGTTTCTAGCCTTATTCATCCAGGGTGTCCACCAGCCTCGCTCCACTGAAACCACCAACTTCCATTAATCTGCCAAACAGAAAATGCCTGGTCTAACGGTCAGACTGGGTGCTCCTCCTACAGGAGCTATGTTGTCCCCTTTCGGAGGGACTCACAGCAGAGAAGGCTGTGTGCCACACAGCAGGCACCAGACGGATGGTAATGGGTGGAGAGTGGTGTAGAAGGGCCCTTGGCATGTCCTTCAGAGGCCTGATGGCCAAGGGACAGAGACGTGAAACCTGGGGCCCTTGGCCCAACCCTCTCCCACCATGATAGGCAACAGGAAATTGCAAGAGCCATTCTGTTTTCTATGAAGATGCTGTATTTAATGATTCCCCCACCATCCCAGCCCCTCCCCCACCCTAGACATTTCCCTATAGAGTAGGAGCCCTTGCCAGGTCCCCCCCTTAAGGCAGACGGTGTGGAGGTAACAAACACCAGACAAGGCACTGGCGGGGCAGAGGGTGTGGGCAGGACAGGGGGCTGGGCTGGCTCCTGATCACAAGTGAAGCAGGAGGGCGGTTTGGGCTGACTCAGGCCTCCCAGTGAATGCCCAACGATGGAAGTGGCCCAGACAGAAAACTAGCACCTCTGCTGGCTGGCCGGCGACTGTAGCTCTTGCCTACTCCCTACAGACCATTCCCAAGGGCAGTAAGCAGGACCAGGAACCCGAAAGAGCCACAGCCCAGGGGGCAGGTATGGGCATCCATAAGCCACTGAGTCACTGAAAGTCCTAGTCCTTCCTGATTTCTTAAGATGGAAGCAAGGATTCTCTTCGAGCTCGAAGGTTCCCAACAGGCTCCATTCTTCCCTATGCCAAGTGTATGCTCTTGGTGAATACAGGGCCTACCAGGTAGACCCTCTAGATGCTGTACCTTGGACTGATGGTCACAGCATGGAGCTCGGGCCCTGCTGCACCCCCCCATAAGCCCTTCCTCACAGCAGGGAGCCCTGTGCTCGCCTCCCTAAACAGCCACTGGAGTTCAGGGTCCAGTGTCCAATGCACCATTGGTGAATTCAGCAGCAGCGGCAGAGACAGCAGCAGTAGAAAAATCCCCACCGCAAAGGCACCTGGGGATCATTAGTGCAAGATAAGTGCATGATCATCAGGTGACAGAAAGGACAGCCTAGACTACAAAGGCCAAGAGCTATTTTCCCTGAACTACCCACTTTTCAGTTCCTCCTGGCCCCGCTCCCTCCACTTGGGGAAGAGATCTCAGAACCATGTCCTCACCTCCCCAAACCTGTCACCCTGCCGCGTCCTACCCTGTCCCTGTTTTATGGTTCCGTTTCACCCACACCCCTTCCTCTTCTGCCACTCAAGGCCCTGGTGGGGGCTCTCCCTGCGGGATGGCAAGTCGGGGGAGCTGGGCTGTGAGGGCTCAAAGCTTTCCACTTCCCTCTGCATCCGCTCCTGCTAGACTCTGCCCCCCTTCTCAGCTCAGTCATGGTCACTCACACCACATCCCCTTTCCTCTCTGCCCCTCCACCTTGCCTGTCCCGCTCGGCCTATGTGCAGACACCGGGAGGAGCCCACCGCCCGCCACGTCTTTGCTCCCAAACCCCCGTGACACCAGGAACACGATGCCAGTTCTCGTCCGCACGGAGGAGAAGGTTAATGCCCTAGTGGGTGGCCAGCTGTTCCGTGGCGACCTGGCAGAGATGTGCGTGTCTCTGGAAGGCGAGCCCGGGCAGAGCAGAGGAAGTGCTCCACGCGGGGCCAGCTCTCTGGTTATGTCAGCTGCTGGGTCACGGACTGAGGGACACAGCTCTACACAGGAGTGGGTCTGAGGTACGCAGGCGGGGACATGCCCTAACGGCACCACTCCATCCCCCTCTCGTGGTCAATGTTGGGTGCTGGACGGTTACAGTTCTGCTTTTCTGATAAAAAATAATAACAAACCCCCCCATAAAAGATGTCCAGTAGAAGAGTTTCCAGTTCCTGGTCACTGCTCCTGGAGGAGCCCTGGCTGGTTGCAGGAAGGCACCTGGGGGACTCAGGATGGTGTCACTTGAGCAGGTCCCTTCCCTCACCTAACTGCACAGCCCTCCCGGGAGCTGTTCCACCTGGGAGCGGGAGCGAGCAGCCCCTCCTGGCCGCCCCGCCCAAAGTCCTCTCTGGAGGCCCGGCCGATGGAGGGGGCCCTCGGCAGCCGTCGGTGAGGGGGCAGCTCCCGGTGGAGTGGGGGTGTTCGTGCTGAGGCCTCTGGGGCCCAGCCGCAGCTTCTGCTCCCCTCCGCTTCCCCGGCAGGCAGCGGGGTGCTGCGGGAGCAGCTGCAGGTCAAGGAGCAGGAAGTGGTCGGTCCAGTGGGCCACCCCCGGATTACGGCATCTTCATCTGGCGGCGGTTCCACATGCCTCGCTTGGAATGGAAGCGGTGGAAGAAATTCCTGAGGGAGAGACGCTCCACTTCCAGGCCCGCTTGGAGGATCCTGGGGGGGAGGGGCAGGATGAGCCACAGAAGCACAGGCGGCAACTGGGCTCTACACCTCCAACACCCGTCCCTGATTCCTGTCCACCCCGGGCCGGAGCAGGTGGAGCGCAGAGGGGCTCTGGAGCCAGGCAGCCTGCTCCACACTGTCAGTCACATCCTCTCAGCCTGCTCGCTCATCTCTAGAAAGAGGATAATAATGATATATACACACTGGAGAGGGGTGGTAAAGACTAGAGATGGTGCCCAGCACAGGTCCTGGCCCACACCGACGCCCAGTACCTGGCACTCAGCCAGCAGGGGGCACATCCCAGTGTTGACACGGAGGCAGAGGCTGGAACAGGCCTCCTCCCCCGCCCTCCTGTCCCTTTCCCCACGCACAGCCCGTGGGGAGGGAGTCCCTCTCACAGAGCGGCCTGGACTAGGGGCATGGGTGGAAGTTACTGGAATCTGGGCAGTTCCTTTCTCCTTGGGCCTCAGGAGAGGCAGGAGGGTTGAGAACTGAACCGGAAGTCCGCATCCGCCCGGCCTGGCGGGAAGATGGGGCGGAGGTGACCCCTAGTCCAGGCTTCTGTCCACTGTGGGAATCTGCTGGGATCTGGCTTTAAGAGAGCTGGGCTGTCTCACACAAGCTCCCTCGACCCCCCTCCTCCGTCCTTAAACCCTCTGGTATTGCCGCCCTCCTTCCCTTTCCTCCAGGGAGAGCGCGTGCACACATCCCGCATGTAAGCCTCTGACACGTATTAGTTGCGTGATTTGGGACAAGTTATTAACGTCTCAGGACTCAGTTTTCTCTCCTGGAAAATGGAGCTAGTGACCCACCTCACAGAGGTGTGGGGAGGATGTGAGTCACCTCGCAGTACAGCAGCCCAGTGACTGGTGGCTGCGTCTTGCCATCTCTCAGGAGGAAGTGGACCTCTTCCTTGTCGAGGTCCCCACTGCCCAGGTGCTCCCGACCTCGCCCTGTCCACCGGCCCTGGACACTGTGCCAGCAGTGACACCCTTTCTTTCTTGGGTTCCCCCCACTCTCCCTTTGCCCTCGCCCCTTAGGCTCAACTCCCCGAGTATCATCTTTCCCTCCCCTTCTTTTGGCAGCAAATATCTTGAAAGAGGAATCTCATGCTAACACAGCCTCCACTGCCTTACCACCCACAATCCGCTACGACCTGGTCCCGGGCCAGCCAGCTCCCTGCCCGTCTTTCTCTGAGGCTTTTCATACATGTGACTATTTCCTCCTCCCTGAAACCCCCTTCTCCCCAGGCTTCCAGGGACCCAAAACCTCCTGGATGGCTTGTTGCCCTTCAATGGTCCCCACTTCTTTTGCTGGCTCCAAAGTCTTCCCTGCCCCTTTGGCCTGTCTTGCATCCAGCCCACCACTTCCTGCACCTCCCCGAGGCCGGGCGGAGGGAGAGAGCGCCGACCCGGAGGATGACCTGGAGGAGGCAGCCGTGTGCTCTCACTGCGACTTGTTTGCTGCTCAGAACACTGTCATTTACATTTGTTCAGAACAGTTTTTGCTTATCCCCTGACACTTTACCAAGCACTTTCCACACCAGCCCTGTGTCAGAGACAGAGGTAGTATCCTCCCCTTTAACAGACAAAGAAACTGAGTCTCAGCGAGGGAAGCGGCTGGAGCCCAGTGAGAGACAGAATTTCCTCCAAGTCCAGCGCCTTCTCCTGCTCCTGGGGGATCCGCAGCCCAGGGACGGGTTTAGGATGCTGTGCACAGTGCCCTCCTCAGAGCGCCTGCAGATGGAATCCCAGCAGACCCCCTCCCCAGTCACCTGTCCAGGAGCTCCCAGTCTTCCCCACCCCAGCGGTCTCGGAACTCCTTGGTGTTCATGCCTCCGATCCTGTCTAGGTCTGACTTGTAGATGCCAAGCAGTCCAAATCCATTCACCTCCCAGTAGCCTGCGGACAGACAAGAAGCTCCGGGTGAGGTGAGCCAGGGGCCAGGAGGAGGGAATAAACAAGACCTCTAGGTGGCGCCCCTACAC